TTTCCCGTTTTTGCTGCAACGTAAAACTGGAAAATAAAAATTTGACATTCTTCTCTGTTAATTTTACTCGAAGTGCAAAGTTCGTGATTTAAACGACAAAATAAGAGACAAATGGTATTCATGGTAATGGTATTCATGCAACGCTAAAAGTATAGTGGTCGTGCTATCAGTGTAATCGCTTTAGATCACTGACATGAAAATATTCGGATAAGAAGGCTCAAAGTAGTGAGAAGTGGAAGAATTGCCTAGCTGAATTAGCAGCCAGAAGAAACGCGACGATGAAACACCACCCGGTTAAAGTGCCAAACTATGTGGTTTACTTATACGGAAAATGGACACTTTACTGGGTATCTTTACTCTGTTGACCTATAAAAAGGGCTGTTAACTGTCCACATTCGAACTGCAAACAGCTTCGTATAACGCCTTTTCTTCAAGGAAAGTGGGAAAGTTGACGGCTGCACAGGCAAATGAAAACTTTCTTGGTTACTTCGACCAGTGCTGCATCGCATGGTGTTTCTCCTGCTGGTGATCCGGAAATTTGTTTCGTCTCCCCAAATTTGAGTTACATAAACCTCCCTCACACAACTCTCGACTAACAAATTTTGAGCTGCGAGAGGTAAAATAAAACAGAAGGTTTAAGAAGCCGGTAACCACCTTTTCAAATCGGCAGTTTCTGGTATTTATCACTTACCCACGGCCGAGGAAAGTGAGGCGCTGGGAGCGAGAGGACGATAAACGATGAGGGACGGACGGGAGGAAGAAAGGAGAAAAGAAACAGGGAAAGCAATGAAGCTCGGGTCATCAGGACTGGATAGATAATCATACTTCAGATCTGTACTGTTTTTTGGTTTCTACAAAACGTAGTTAAGCTTAACACTACACCCTCCTCAATGGCGCTTGGAAGGAAGGTCCCCCTCTTTCCTCCTCCCCACGGTCTGTACGATTCGTTTATTCGTTTCGATGGTAAATTGGTGTTTGCACATGCTAAGGAGTCAATTCCACCATCAGTCTGCTTTTAAGCAATACGCGAAAAGAAAGGCCGTCAGTAGTCTTGCAACCGGTAGTACCTTTACTAATGATGTGCTGTCATTCAATCTATTTCTAACTGCATTCTTCTGAAAGAGATTTTTTTTC